TGACAGGCTTATGCAATGAATGATCATATAATATAACTAACCCCCCATTATTTTTGCCTAGATTAGGTGTTTAAAAAAAAAACTAAAAAAAACTAATACAATCTGTCAACATTGAAGTTGCTGTCTAGTGGATAAGTGAGTGCGCTGGATCTTGTGTATTGCCAACAGATTCTGCAGCACTGTACAATTCGTGGAGAACATCCAATAAACACAGACAAATACAAAAGGTAGAGAGGGCAAGTATATACATATATTTAAATTCTACAAATATATTTCTATAGTATTGTTAAATAATTAAGTCATTTTTTTAATTTCAATTTGAGGGACCTGCCTGACAACCCAGGCAGAAAGTCCAGAGAATTTGGTTCACAAGCCCTATATTTAACCTTGTAACTTTTCAGGACACCATAAAACCTGTACATAGGGGGTACCGTTTTACTTGGGAGACTTCGCTGAACACAAATTCTAGAGTTTTCACTGGCGATATCGCCACTGTTCTGAAAGCATAATTTTTTTTATTTTTCACACAAACGACACTTTTACCGACGCTATTCTTGTGATATGTTTCACTCTTTTGACAAACTAATATTTGTGTTTAGCAAAGGCTCCAGAGTATAAAAGTAACCCCCATGTACAGGTTTTTTGGCGTTTTCAAAAGTTACAGAGGCAAATATAAGGCTTGCATTTCAGTTTTTTTCACATTGAAATTTGCCAGATTGATTTGGTGAATTTGAGACCGTATAGTAGCCCAGAAATGAGAATTACCACGATTATGGCATATCATTTACAAAAGTAGGCAACCCAATGTATTGCAAATGGGGTATGTCCAGTCTTTTTTACTAGCCACTTAGTCACAAACACTGTGAGTGAAAAATGCAAAAAACTAATTTTAACGCTAATTTTGGCCAAACAAATATGAACGCTAACTTTGGCCAGTGTTTGTGACTAAGTGGCTACTAAAAAAGACTGGACCTCATTTCTAATACAGTGGGTTGTCTACTTTTGCAAATGGTATGCTATCATCGGGGTAATTCTCATTCCTGGGCTACAATTTGGTCTCAAATGCAACATAACTAGTCTGGCAAATTTCAATGTGTATAAACTGAAAATGTAACGTGCCATATTTGACCCTGTAACTTTTCAAAACACCATAAAATCTATATATGGGGGGCACGGTTTTACTCGTGAGACAACGCTGAATACAAATATGTATTTTATTGCAGTAACAGCTACCAACATTATGACATTCACAGTTAAAATGCCACGCAGAACTAAAAGATTAACAAAAGTTCTTAATTTCTCAATTTGTTTTAGATTGTTTCATATTAAATTATGTTTCATATATAAATATTTGATATGAAATGAAAGCCCTGTTTCTCCTGAACAAAATGATATATAATAATTGTGGGTACATTTAATATGAAAGAGGTGAATTACAGCTAAACACAAACATCGCAGAAATGTAAAAACAGCCCTGGTCCTTAACGGTAAGAAAATTAAAAAATGGTCTAACCCTTAGGGTTAGCTACGTGCATGTCTACAGCCAAACATTCAATGTTATGCAGCGTTTATAAATCATGGACATTTAAGTAGAGATAAAATAAATGAGAAATGTTAGTTCCCCATATACAGATTGATCTTCACATATATTGCTGTCTTTTTGCAGCACTGCTAAAGTTAGTTGTTTCTCTCTTTCTGGGAGTTTATTCATTAAATTTGGAACAGCAACTAAATTCTTTTGGTTGTTGCAATTTGCCGTTTTTATGCAATTTGCACTTTTTTGTTGTTGAAATGAGCAAAATCCAACATGGGTGACTGAGCTACACAAACTGCAATCAAGCAGCCTCTGTTGAATTTGGATAGCCCTTTAAAGCATTTCGACATTTTTTTTGTTGTAATTTTTTATTTTTGCTGTGCATAAGATTGACATGTCTACAGTGTCACAACAGCACGTATAAGCATTTTGACAAGGACAATAGTGTGACATGAGTGAAACTGCACGTTTTTAGGTATAGAAACAAGCTTAGGTCTGTTTGCGCCAGTGAACAGCAATACAGAAGTGGTAGGTATGTCGGAGTATGTATCCTGGCGGTATAGTAAAGTACAATGATAAATTGTGGGATAGGTACATGCTCTATATCAATATAGGTAGTGACAGACAGCATGGCGAGGATCCTAACTGTTCAAACTGCTGCACATCATGCAATGTATTTACAAGAGTGTACTTGTTTTAAGAGTGGAGCTATATACTGAGTGGGTAAAACCCCTGGACGCCGGCTCTCTCAGGCTTAATTTAGGGGTTCAGTGCACTATTAAAGATATGCGATTAGGAGCAGGTCAGCAAGAAACAAAAGCAAAGCAGAAAATCAAACATAAACGAATGCTTGTATAGAGCTTTTTCTCTTCCAACATGGCATCCGACTCCACTGTCATCATATTTGGGTGCATGGTTGCTTGCTGGGCACCTCAGCCGATCCCCACCGGAGGCAAGGGTGTGTTGTACACTGGAGAGTTCAGGTGTATAGCAGCTGCAGCGTAGCCGGGCAGCATGCTCCTCCAACCCCAGGATTGTGTGAGAGCTTGCAGCTTTTTACCACTGACTTGGGAACCTCGTAGGGCCAAGTCCTTCCCCCGCCTGGGGTAAGCAGAGGGCCTTGATGTTGCGCGCCGTTCCCAGCGGGTAATCCTGCGCTTCTGTGGGTGATGTGTAGACCCAGGCAGGCGTACCTTAGGGTATATACACATGCTCGTGTGTCCGTTCCAACAGGGTGCCCTCCTCCCTTGTCTCCCGTCGCTCAGGTACTGGTGTTTGTGAATGCTCCTCTATATTCCGTCAGAATCTTTCAAAGATGGCATCCAGGCGTTGCAAAGCGGATTTGAGTGCGTCGCAGTGAGGCTTTGGTCCCGGAGGTAGTCCCCTCTTGTCCGGCAAGGAGTCTGTCGCCATCTTGGAGGTGAGATAGGGGTGGACACCCCAATTCGTAAGCCGGTGCAGAGTGGGCTGCCCCAGTACATTCAGTGGTGACCTGGATAACCTACTCTGGTTGGAGGGGGGGAGATAGGAGTGCAGTAATACCGAGTTTCTGGAAGCGAGGAGATCGGCCGCCTCTCCCAGCAACATCCCCAGTAGGCCGCAGCAGTGTTTTTCGAATCTTACGTGGGTAGCAGGAGCTCGAGTGAAACAAGTCTGCTCTGCTTAGAAGTCAGACTCTGCCACCTATTTTGACATATTTTATCGTGCAAGATCTCCCCTTTCCAGGTTTTGTCAACTTTGGGCTTGATCACAAGTTTTTATCTCAGAATTTCTTTTGATTAAAAATGAAATTCCAGCACAGTCAATGAGTAGCTCCGAAAGATTTTATCTTTCAAAAAATTCTCAGACTTGATATAAATATATGACACAGCCTCTTTGACACCTCGGGAGCCCTCTCAAAAGAACTTTACAGATCGAGTTCTCCTCTTACATATTTCCAACCTGGCCACAAAGACTGATTTCCACTTGAAGCCCCACATTAAAATACATACACTTCCCACAATGCAGCGCGAGACATTTTTCATGAAATTACAAATGTTTAATAGAAAAAGATGAAAAGGAGTTGGATGATCGAGATAGATTGTAGACTAAAGTAATGGAAATTGTAGCGATCCCTCATCAATAGATAAAGGATATGCAATTCTGTAAAAATACAAATACGGACTGAACATGAGACTGGACCACATTCTCAGTAATGCTTACGTAGATAAATAAAATATTCTGTTTCCTAGAGGTCTATTCATTAAACTCTGAATTCAGAATTGGTCTGTTTAAAAAAAAAAAAAAAATAGCAGGGGTGCGTTGGTCTTAATTCAGTTCAAATTCACAGGGTTATTAACTAAAATGAGAATTCAAAAGGAAATTCCAAATTTGGGGCGAAAAGTAGTCAAAATTGAAGCATAGCGGATTTCAAGAATTTTTCCGGTTTGGCTATTATGATCTTACAAGTGAAATTGACTTTAAATTCTCACTTTAGTAAATAATCCTGTCGTTTGTTAATGAAAACTGGACGACTGAGGAATTATAAAACCAAAAGCAAGAGAATAGAGGTAAGTTAGGCCCAATGATCAAAAACACAATTGACAATTTAATTTAATGAACAGACCATGTTAAAATTCATACTCCTATTGCCTTATTGTTCAAACAGTACTGGTGATTACCATTAATCTTACCTTCAAGATGTCCTGTGGTCTGGGTAAGTTTTTCCAACACAGCAAACTTGCGGTTCCTGCTAAAATTCTTAATTTGGCATAATGTTTATAGTTTGGCTTTTAAGATACTATGTATTAAAAATCATTTAATATTCTAACAGGGCAGCCCATCCATGATTCATGGCCAATGCACAGGTATCTAGAGACAGTGGCGTACACACAATCCATGGGGCCCCAGTTCAAAACTGATCTGTGCCCCGCCCCCTCCCTATTCCCCCCACACCACCCTTCCGACACACACAGAAACATACAAACATACAAAGACATCCAAACAAACAGGCAGACACACACATACAGACCTACATACAGACACATCCAAACATAATATTTAAGTCACCCTCCTGTTTCCTACCTTTTAGGTTCAGGAGGGTGATTTTCCCTGGGGTCCCACTGTGACTCCCTCCTCCTTCCTCCCGCACGGGCTCTTTGTATGCTGGGAGGAGTGACGTGCGGTCACTTCCTCCCAGCTTGTGATGTCATCAAAGGGGGCCCGGTCACGCTGTTAAAGCGCTGACCAGGCCCCATTACAATCCATATCCATCGGGTGGCCCTGAGAGCATGGGCCACCCGATGGAGCCCTTGGACGGCGACCCCGGCGGTTTGCCGGGGTTGCCAAATGGTGATGGCGGGTACCCGGTAACAGGTATGTATGCGACCGCGGTATGTATGCCAGTGTTTAGAGATAAATGGATGTCACCTTGACCACATTTCTCTCTACTTTTGTTATCCTATTGAAAGTCCAGTAAATTGGCTTTGTCCATTTCTTGGGATCAGCAAGAAGGTACGTGCAGTCCTTGACTAATTGTGTTCCTAAAATTAAAACTAGATTTGGTCTTCGTCAAACCTTTTAGATTTGACAGAGGTTATACCACCATTGCCTAATTTTCTAATTACGGTTAAATACCTAATTCATGACAGACTGAAAAAAAGGATTAAGACACAAATCATTACCTTTAGGAGGGGTCCCAGATCAATATAAACTTGATTTTACTTCTGCAATGATTATAGAAATCCCTTAAGGACACAGCTTCAAAAGCCTGTCTTGCACTTAAAGGACCACTATATGCACCCAGACCACTTCAGCTTAATGAAGTGGTGTGGGTGCCAGGTCCATCTAGGATTAACCCTGCCTGCTGTAAACATAGCAGTTTCAGAGAAACTGCTTTGTTTACAAATGGGTTAATCCAGCCTCTAGTGGCTGTCTCATTGACAGCCGCTAGAGGCGCTTCCGCGCTTCTCACTGTGATTTTCACAGTGAGAAGACGCCAGCGTCCATAGAAAAGCATTGAGACTGCTTTCCTATGGACTGGCTGAATGCGCGCGCGACTCTTGCTGCGCATGCGCATTCAGCCAATGACGGCCAAAGGAGGAGGAGAGTCCCAGCGCCGAGGGAGCCCGGCGCTGGAGAAAGGTAAGTGTTTAACCCCATTTCTCCCCCTTCAGCCCGGTGGGAGTGAAACCCTGAGGTTGGGAGCACCCCAGGGCACTCTAGTGGTCCTTTAAGGACACAAGTTCAACAGGAATTTCAGCTTTTAAATTGCATATTATATACTTTTTTTTTTAAAGACCTTTAATTTGATGTGATATACACAAAAAAATAACTAATTAAAAAAAAATAATGGATTCTCCTCCCACTTTTGGGTTCATTGAGAACATGGTTGTTGTTCAATAATAAAATTAATCCTCAAAAATACAACTTGCCTAATAATTCTGCACTCCCTGTACAACCTACAGCCAGAAGGAAGAGACCCTGGTTTGAAAAGTCCTAGCTGCTAGACATATACCAAACAAGGGCCAGAAATCACTCTTTTTACATGTAAAACAATGTTTTTTTTCCCTGTGTATTTTGTTATGGGCAAATGCAAATATTACAAGTTTTAGAATGAAATGTATTTCTTAAACTGTGTACTTTGTCTTTAAGAGATATTGCAAATTGACAAGATGTTAGAAATGGAACATATTGCTTTTCAAAGATATTTCTTTAAGCAATAACCTCAGTGCATATTATGTTTACGCCATTTTGTCCCAGACAAATTACAATAACGCATAAACAAGCTTCAAGGCTATACTACGACTCTTTCAGTACACAATATACTGTGGTAACCCCAAGTTAATGGAACTTCCCCAAATCCGGGAATCTCCCACGACTGTGCACTGACGACTTAGTATAAACAACAGATAACCTATTCAGACTTTAAGATGCCATCTTGAACTAAGTCAGGAAAATTTCCATGACGTTTGCACCCTTTAGTTATGTCCTTGTATGTTTGCCAAGTTAAGGGAGGTCCTAAATTGAATAAAGTAAAAAAAGTGTTACTTTTTCATATATGAACTACGGTGACCCTAAAATGGAGACACCTAAGGTATAAATAGGTGTACTTTTAAATGTTAACACACAGAGGAGAGACTTGGAGACAGACGCTGCTCCATCTTAAAATGACAGAGAGGCTGACATGATGACATGTTCAGAAGGGTATGTTAACCTATTAATGATATTTGCAAGCATTTAATTGAATCTTATAAACTCTACTATAATGGATTTTATATTTATATTTTTATATAATAAATATCCAAAAAGACAAAACTATTGCTTCCAAGACAATCCTTATTTTATATTGTATTCTCAATTATTTATATATGTTAAATAGAGGATCTCTTACACTAACTATATAAAATTATGGCTAAGATATCTGTATGGTTAGCCCTACTAAGTTCTATGCTTTAAGACATTATAGTGGTAAATAAGGGAACCAGCCGCGGTTACAGTGTTATTAGTCCTGTAAAATAAATAAATTATTATGCTCAACTACATCTTCTGAGTACAGCATTACCCCCAATGTATGCCTTTGCCAGTATCCTGTAAATCTACGGTGACCAATTCAGCTTTTGCAGTTAGAATTTTGATAGATGGATTTGATTGGCCTGACAGGGGAATTGGAATAACCCAGCATAGGCTGTCCGGTTGCAGTTTGTGTAGCCAGCGTATATCGTTACAATGGCACCTGTCAAGGGTTAGGATATTTTTGTCAGCAAGTGAACAGTCAGTTCTTCGATTTCATGTGTTGGAAGCCAGAAAAATGGACAAGCGAAAAGATCTAAGTGACTTTGACAAGGGCCAAATAGTGATGGCTAGATGACTGGGTAAGAACAATTTTTTACTCTTATGTGGCGTTACTGCTATGCAATGGTTAGTGCCTACCAAACGTGGTACATGGTAGGACCACCGGTAAAAAAAAAAGCATCAGGGTCATAGGCGCCCATGGCTCATTGATGAACCTGATCATACATACACTGTGACATCAGAAGGGGGCACAGTAAAGCAGCGGAAGGAGCTTTGCCCAGCGCTGGATTTCCAGTAAGTAATTCAAATAAAGGCATTTTACACTGGGAAGGTCCCCTCCTCTTTGAATGGTTGTAGTAGCCCTTTAATAATAAATCTAATCCTTATTCTAAATAGAATGTTAATCCTTAACCCCTTAAGGACCAAACTTCTGGAATAAAAGGGAATCATGACATGTCACGTCATGGGTCCTTGAGGGGTTAATGTTATCTTTATCCCAAAAGGTTTCCCTCTATTAAGATCAGTACTGATACAGTGGGACCTCGGTTTACAAACGCCTCGGTTAACATAATTTTCGGTTTACAAACAAAAATCCATTAAAAATAACGCCTCGGTTTACAAATTTGTTTTGCAATACAAAGCAAGTTTCCCCAGGATGCATTGCAACTGGGAGGTTTATAGCACCGCCCCCTGTATGCTGGAGCCTGTGGGTAGCACGTGGCATCGAGAGTGGAGGTGTTGCAGTGGCTTTTGCATCGACTTTTGGAACCATTCTGGAAATTGTTTGCAGTTGTTTTAGGACTTTTTGGTGCATTTCTCAAGCAGTGGAAATGTAGGGAGCTGCGCTTCGTCGTTTGCATGCCTTTTGATGTGTGTTCTGCATTGTGGGTGGGTTTCCATGCCAGCTCATTTTGACTTTTTCCTGACATCCAGAACGGATTAATTGGTTTTCAATGCATTCCTATGGGAAACCGTGTTTCGGTTTACAAATTATTCGCAATAAGAAACGTCCCGGAGAACGCATTAAATTCGTAAACCGAGGTCCTACTGTATTTGTGAAGGAATTCTAAGATAAAACAGAGTGGTATGTTGCCATCTACTGGCTATTTTCATTATGGCAGTCTCCTGTCATAATGCTGAAAATAATATGCTCAATGCATTGTGATCAACAACGGGCAACTAACAAAGGACAGCACCAATCAGAATGACACCATGCATGAAGCGTGACCCTCCAGGATCTGTTCAGATGCTGGTTAGATCATATCCAGTAAGAGAATGACGTTAGATTAACTTGTTCTCTATGGAGTTAAAGAGCTATATGCATTGCTGAGTGTCAGCACTGAATGCAGCTCATTAAGTCAGGGATCACAAAAAATGTCCCCAGATGACAGAGGGGAGCCCCAGTTATGCACTGATACCGGAAACTCAATGGTGTGAGCAAAGATGTAACCCTGTTCACACTGCATTGTAACAATTGGGGCTTTAATCCCTAAATAAATGCATGTTAACCGCACTCAGAGTTCTGCAAACAGAGCAGTCAGTCAGTCTAGGGCCACTAACAAAGGAGAGCCCCGGAAATCAAATGACACCTGGGGTCCCAGTAACCAGCAGAAAAACTGCTGGAAAAATAAATTTCCGTCACACGTCCTTAAGAGGTTAAAAATGCTAATTACGTAAGTGGCATTACAGACCAGTGAGGGCTATCATTCTATGAACTATACTTCCCATGATTCACATCCAAATACCTGCAACCAATTTTACCTTCACCATTCTAATATGAGGGAAGAATCCCTTAGTCAACACAGCAAAACATTAATTGGAAAGTCACTCCCGATAGGATGCAGGCTAACACCATCGTTAATAAGGATCTATTAAAGACGGTGTTATTTTAAATATTAATAAACAGCAATTTACGCATTAGTCATCCATTAGTTTCTGAGCATATCAAATATTTCCTTGTTCAATGCATTTTGAACAAGGTTTTTAATTTCCCAAGAATGTGTGATATTTTTGTTGCCATAGTTACGACAGATCACAAGGGGGGAAATGGAGAGCATTTAATACCATTTACGCATATTTATTCTACTGTAACCCAGGGCCTGTTTCGGGGCCATAGAGTCATCAAATAAGAATGACTTGGAATTTAACATCTCCAACAAAATCATTATGTGTAGGAGTTTTGAAATACGTAATCTGTAGATGGATATTACTTTAGCACAGAACAAAGTCTAAGCCTTTTGTTCTTCTATTTTAGTCATTTTCCATAAGGATCTATAGAGTCTAGGTTAATTTAGCTGCTCCACTGTTCAGATCTGGAAAGCTACTGGGTGTCCAAGCCAACGTGACTGTTTTCCACTTTTTAAACCAATACATGTTGCCTAGGAAAATGAATGGCTTCAAGCCACCTTTGCAAATTTCACAAACAGGTGGACTGCACAAGGGAAAACGGACATCAAAACCCTGTGTGTTGGTGAATATCACCGTACTACCACCAAGGTAATTAAATAATACATTCAAAAATAAAAACACAAAAGGAAAAAAACAAACCTTTCTTCTGTCACAGATAAGAATGAATGTCGTTGCCAGCAGCATTTTGACTTCAAAACATGCTTTCTGGGTTGTGGTAAATAAAATCACATCATTTAAAAATATGCCTTTCACCGAGTCTTCACTTTCCCGAATCCTAAAAATACGGTGTGAAATAAAATCCTTGCAAACATTTCCAAATACTGTAAGAAAAAGGATGCAGCACATACTGACAGTGCCCTAAACTAAATCTCTTTTGAATTTGTGTTTTAATACAACAAAGAACTTCTCAGGATAAAGGTAATGTGCGATCAGCCTCTCAGAAGATCTAATACATTTGTTGAAAGGCATATCATTCTATTTTTTTTTTTAT